GAAGTTGTGTCAAAGTCGGGTTGTGTTGGCTCTGAATATTTCTTATGACTTGTGGTCTTCTGGTGGAAGTGTTGTCTCCAGAAGTCTAATATCAGTTCCGATGAGATGGCAAACCGTTGACTTATGCCAACAGTGTCTCAACACCTCTAGGCTTCCCTTTCCTTCACTCAGAGTCCAGACCACCACCGGATCCGCTTCTTTTTCTTCGTCTTATACCTCTTTGATGAACCCATTGCTGTGTGTCTACGACCACCTCCTGTGCCGTAGGATCGCTTCCTTCAACTCCTCGACTCCGATGCCCTTTAAAGCACTCATTCTTATGGACTGAATGTCTCCGCCGTCTTCTTCTAAGACTATTCCCTGAGCTCTGAATCCTGTCTTCAAAAGTTGCAAATCTGTGTTCAAATTGAGTCTTGAGGTGTAGTCCGGCTCTGAGTTCACTATAAAACGACTCTTAAGTATGGGTTGCGGCGGAAGTAATAGGAGTCGAGTGGGCGTTAAAATACATCTCCGGATCTCTTCCAGAAACTTCTTATTACTGCCGCCAATCGTGAGCCGAAATCTGACGGTCAGTCTTCGGTGGCAGTGATGAAACTCTGCGGTCATGTCGTCTTTGGCCACATGAACGCCGCTATTGAAGTGATTCCTATCGTTGCTGTCGTAGTGTTTGACGAATTGTGTCAAATCGATAAGAGTTCCCATTTTGAAGGACTTCAAGACAAACCACTCCATCGACATGTTGTCCGGATTGTCCACATTTACGCTATGGTTGGACAGCAATCGGTACGTGTCCTCAGATAACGAGAACCACGTGTTCTTCAGCGCCCGTTCCGCGCAGACATTAGACATCATTTCCTTGACGAACATACCGGTGCTCCGCTCGAGTGACATCTGAGCCGTGTATCTGCACACACCCTCGTCCTCGTAGTAGGTCTTGTCCGACGAGTTACCCAACGCCATGAGCTCCAGATCGGCGCTAAAGACACCGTTCAGCCGCCGAAGAATGGCTTGCAATCGCTTTCCCTTATCTGTGCGCCAGTCGTTCAGATCACCGGCGCTCGAGTCTACCGGTGCGTCCGAGATGTGGATTATCTCAACGCTCAATGTCTTATAGAAGTTGGTGTTGGAGTCTGCCATCGCTTGTCAGTTGTCGCTGGAAATTATGGATCAGTTTAAAGATATACAAAATGTAACTGATTTTCACAACTGATTCTTACATTTGATTCATTCAAATGACATTCAAATCCATTATTCGATGGATTGTCACGAGATATAAGACTTTTGTATAAATCTCGCACTAATAGCTATTTTCTAACTATTTTTCGTAAATAATTGCAATCAGTATTCGAAATGCAATGAAATTTAATTGTTAAATGGTTTGAAGTAGTTTTACAATTGATTTAATTGTTAGTTACACTTTGTATCTGAATTTGTGTATAACTTGAATAAACCATAGTTTGACAGAAAATATTCCGTTTGAATTGAAAACCATTCACTAATTTAACGAATAATTTATTTCACAACGGATTCCGCAGTCAAGAGAAACCACAAATTGATTGATTAGTTGAGCGAAGAATGAGTCAAAACCCGATCAAATCGAGGAAATCAAAGGCAAAGAAAGCGATTTTAGGCAAAAAGAAGTCTTTGAAAGGAGTGGACATTCACTTTGTTTTGACGGATACTAAGTGACAGTCGATTTGAATTGGAAGTCATTTAATGAAAGGCTTTTAATTTTCAAAATTTGTTTATTTATAGCAAAGAAAGGGTCGAATGGATGAGCAAACTGTTGGAAATGCAGAGGAACTCCGTGTTTGTCGACTCCGCCATAATTACATCGGATTTCAAGAAGTTCTCAATCGATAGGAATGTGTTCGCAGCCATCAGTCCCTACTTTATGGCCCTTTACTCCAACTCTCTGTACACCGAAAACCAGAGCCGAGAAGTGTTTTTGCCGGACATCTCGTCAATGACTATGAAAATAATCGTTGACTTCGTATATACGGGACAACTGTTAGGGATTAATGACACCAACATTGAGGCAGTCATTCGAGCGGCCAATAGACTCCAAATCACTGGAGCTCTTGATTACTGCTACAGATATTGGACTCAATCTCTGGACACAAAGAACTGCATAAGTATTTACAGAAATGTAAAAACTTTTTTCAATACATATAATGGTTTGAATGACATTTGAAGGGATTTACCAAATGTCGCGAATGTATTATGCGATTGAAGTGATCGACAAATCAAAGGAATTCATTCTCTATAACTTCATGGCTGTAATCATTGATACAAACATTGATTTGTGTGAAAAGCAATTCATATGCCATTCCTTCCCATTGACAGGTTGTGAACCAATGTCCAGATTTCTATTCTCTCAGTAAAGACGAGTTGTCCGACATCTTGAGTGACGATCGGCTGAATGTCAGCCGAGAAGAACTCACTTATTCTGCAATCAACTCTTGGATATCAGCCAACCATCAGAGGGTCGAACACTTCCAGAAGTTACTAAAATTGGTTCGTTTTGGAAATTCTTCTCTAAAGTGAGTATTAAATGATTGATTCATGATTTAAAATAAATTGCTGCCAATTATGACAATCATTTGCAAACAGATTTGTTGAGACGAGTGTCAGAGAGAATGTTTTAGTCAAACAAAATCCGGAACTAAACCAATACATCACTACTGTCTTCAATGTCTTAAATGACATTCATTTACATCCGTTGCCCTCGAAGTTCGACATTCGTTTGCATCCATTCCTGAGACCACGGATTCCGAGAGATATTTTGTTTGTCTTCGGCGGTTGGAGTGCTTCTAATGCCACCAATACTATCGAGTCGTACGACTGTCGGGTCAACAAGTGGTACACAATTGATAGCCAGAGTCTAGTGTAGGATAAGACAAATTATACACCAATTCTTGATATTCTGTATATATTTTCATTGAAATCCTTTAGGTTCGCACCCTATCGCTCATATCATGGACTCATTTCGTTCAATGGTCTCATTTATATCATCGGAGGCTTTGATGTAAAAAACGCTAATTTTGCTAAACATTTAATTCTAACTTTAAAAGTCTAATTCATTTAAATATTATTCATTTGATTGCCTTCAGGGACGACAACATTTCAATACTGTATTCGCTTTCAATCCGATCACTAAAACATGGAGTGAGAAGTCTTGTATGCATTCCCCCAGGTTTGACATCAACTTTAGCTTTTTTGATACCATTCCAGTCCATTGAAACTTGAATTTGATTTCCTAATAACTTTCCTTTAGGTGTTACGTAAGTGTAGCGCATTGTAATGGATTCATATATGCGATGGTATTATAACTCAATTCTTTGAAATTATACTTAAAATAAACACTAAATTCTGTTTTGAAATAAAGGGTGGATTCGATGGAAACGTTAGAACCAGTTCTGCAGAAGTAAGTCGTGTATTGTTTTAGACTTTTTTGATTAAATGTTATAAAATATATAGAAATATGATGTGAAGACAAATCAGTGGCAATTTATCGCTCATATGAATCACCAGAGAAGTGATGCTTCAGCCGCAGCAATGGCGGGAAAGGTGTATATCGTCGGCGGTTTTAACGGTTTGTTTGCTATCAGTCTGCTCTCACTTGTTCTCATTGTCTCAAATGTATGGACTCGTAGGCAGTGAAGTCTTAAGTAATGCCGAAGTGTACGACCCATCAGTCAACGAGTGGACTCTTATCACTCAAATGCATAGACCCCGAAGTGGTGTCCAATTGGTTGCTTTCGATGACCAATACCTGTTCGCAATTGGAGGCAACGATGGCGGCACACGACAGACCAGTTTAGAGAAATATGACCCCAAAACCAGAAGTTGGACACTAGTGACCGATATGTCGACCCCTCGCTCTAACTTTGCTTCGGTTGTCCTCGAGAACCAGATTTATGTGATCGGAGGCTTCAATGTATGTCTCGTTTTGACTTTATTATAGGGATATTATAGGGATATATGTCTGATATTATAGGGAACAACAACTATAGCCGAAGTGGAGGCCTATAACCCGGTGACCAACAGTTGGCAGGAAATGTGGCGAATGGCTCAACACAAGAGCGCGTTGAGTGCGTGTGTTATGAGCCAACTGTCCAACAGTCGGGCCTATACTTGGCTGAGACGAGAGCTCATCGACAACTCCACTCAACCCGAGTCCACTCAATCTCAATGTTCGCTCAGAAGACCAATCAATACGAATCCCACGGTTTAGTCATGAATTGAAAACTAAATTATATTTTAGACTATTTTCTCAATTAATTGTTGTTTACATTAAAATATTTCCAATATATTTATATTTATGAATGATTCTGTTTGTGAGTAATTTATTTTTGTAATGTATTACATAACATTGAATATATAAAATATCTTTAGACTAGTTTTAATAATAAAATTTGTATACATCTCATAAACAAAATAAAAAAATGCTTTACAAATGCTTAAATGCTTTACAAATCTTTAATTCGTTATAAACTTTTTGGTCAATTACTAACTGATAATAAATATATAAACTTAAATAATAAAATAATATATACTATATTTTTAAATACAGATATTATAAACTTTATAAATTATTACCGGTATAAAATAATAGTTTTAAATAATAAACATTAATGTTAGGTAAATGCTGTTTTAAAAATATGCAAAAATATTTAGATCTTTTAAATAACCGGTTATTTGTTTGAATCCAATTTGAATCCAATTATTTGAGGCGGGAATACGAAACCATTATTATAATCATACCTAATGTCGCAAATAATAGTACCGTATTAGTGTTTTGTGAGTTCACTAACTCATCTGGTAAATACTGTACAATAAATTAAATGAATACAAACTTATTGCGTTAAATGAGCCGACGGTGCAAAATGTGGGAAACCATCCGATGGTATTGAGACACCATTCGAGGACTGGACTCAACGCTATGCTCACAAATGCCTAAAATTACGTTATAATTAGAATCTTGAATAATTCAGTAATCATTTTGTACTGACAGGTCCCGTGTGTATGAGACCGTAGATAGTGATGGCGTTGGTGTCGCCAAACTTGCGGACAACTTCCGGCAAATACGAGGCAAACACACCGACGCCCGCGAAAAATAACACAAAATCCCAAATCGCAAAAAATAACTTCTGACAGAAAAAGCTGGAAATGATTAGCGAGAATGTAGACGTCGCTAGAATGCCGTTGATCACGATTATCGTGTCCTATAAACACCAAAAATAAGGGTATTTATCAATTGTTTTCTAATTGACAAAATAAATAAATGAAATAATAATTTACTCTAAATTTTAAGAGATCCAGAACTTTGCCCCAAAAGACACCACCGATTCCGTTGGCAACGAAAGAAAAGGCGAGAATGACTGACAAATAGTGGTCGTCGTTGATATAGCTCTGACCAAAGGCCTTGATCATTGAGTTTATAAAATAGACACTTTGCGTACTGAACGCGAATGTGAACCATAACATCGTGAAGAACCGGGTGTTTATCGCGTGGCGAATGGAATACTGGGTTTGGAATACACTGTGAGTAGTAGTGGTCACAAGAATCTCGTTGTCATCGAAGTTCATCGATGTACTGATGGGGTTGTCATTGGGATCCGTTTGGACGGTATGGTTAGGTCGAGGCTCTTCGGAGTCGAATATAAGGCAAACGCCTATTAATCCCATCACAGCGTAGATACCGCTCAACAGATTGAATAGTTTGGGAACTTTTGACAACATTTCTGTTTCATCGAAATATCTATGAATAAGTGGTTTAAAGTTAAGACAATGTCAGCGATTGTCAACTAATTCTGTATAACTGTAATACCCGTCAGAATTTGGTTTAACATTATTTGGGTTTAAATAAAACGTCTGAATTTGAGTGAAGATAAAAGAGCTGAAAGCGTTGATACCAGTGATGACACCGGCGACCAGTCCTTTATTATTGGGAAACCATTTGATGCAATTGACGATCACTGACGAGTATATCAATCCGTTGCCGATTTGGGCCATCAATGCATAGCTCATCAAAACCATTATGAATGAGTTGTCGAGAGCCAGGGATGTCAGAGCCATTGAACCACTTATGGATCAATTCATAACACAATTAATCAATTAATAGTTATTTGTATTAAAAACAATTAGTTTAGTACTTACGAGAAGACAACGGCAGCCAATAGACAGGTGACTCTTGTGCCCATTTTGTTGACAATGAATCCGCTGATGATAGTGAAGAGTGTGAAGGCAGTGACACCGACGGGCGTATACCACACACTCTCACCAAAGTTGGCATCTCTTGAGGCCTTTTGTCGCAAATACGATGTCATATAAGTGTTGAGATTTGCCAAAGTATTACCCGATCCCACCATCAGATGTAGGACACAACTGCCCACAAGAGTCGACAACTGTTTCACTCGTAACGCCATTATGACTAAACTTATTGTATGATTAATATAATGATTATGTTTTATCACAATTCATACATTATGCAAATATTCAACTAATTGTGTGTCAAATATATGCCATTAATTGTAATCACATTCAAAATCAATTGTCAAATAATAGCAATACTAAGCGACTGTATGGGAGTATTGAGTGAATTGGTGTCATAAATGCTATTAATGAATACAACTGTAGATCTGATTGTCTTTGGTGTCAAGAAATCTCTTCAATATATCACATGAATGTCACAAATGGTGAACACAATTAAGACATCACTTGTACTCCAAGAATGTACGGCAAATGGTATGACACGATAATCCGGATGAGTTCACTATATTTAGTTCGTGTCAAAGCATTTTGTCGCTCAAATTGAGTGTTAATTAAAGCTTTTTGTTAATGAAATTAAAGCTTTTTTAATGAAATTAAAGCTTTTTGTTAATGAAATGATTGTATATTTGGTTTTGAATGCAATGAAAGTGAGAGCGAAACAAATGATCGGATTCTTGTTGTTTACAAATAAAAGCTGACGATTGGGTCGACAATAATAACGACTCGCACGGCGACTGAGAGTGCGGCGACTGTCGCTGGCGTCACGCGGCGTACGAGTGGAGCGAACGCCGGTGCAGTGCACAGGACTCGCGTGTGATCGCTGTGAAGGCCATTCGCATAGCATAGCGTCAACGGAAAATGTATGACAAGACTGTGTGTGAGCGTAGAAAACGTATGCATTGAATGATGTGTTTGTGTTGATGTGTTGACCATTGACTGCATCATCACTTATGCTATGATTTGATTTGTAATACAATTAAATTAAATAATTATTTGTTTGTATTATTTTATACTGATTTCAATTACGGGAACCGCCTTTTGGTGTCAATATAGTCGCTGGCGATCGGTGTGTGCAGTGTTTTGGGGCTTAAGATGAATAATAATTATACAAATAATTACAATAATAGTAATTATAATCCGAAATTAAACAATGGTTTCAATACGGATGTGAATCCTATGCCTAATGGCTACCAACCCTTCCCGGCGGCCGGCCCTCAGCCCCAACAACCCACACATCAATACAATTATCCACCGATGGCTCAGTCGTCGACCGCAAGAGTGGCGCCCACTTTGGCCACCAATTCGGTGTACAGTCAGCCATCAGGGGATCAGTTGAGACACCAAACGCAGACATCTGTCCCACACATGGCTAGCAAACAGTTTAACCTCAACTACAACGAGTCAAACAATCAATACTTACCGCCGATGAGATCACAGCCGCCAACACAACCGGCAGTTTTGCCCACTAATGGACAGACGTTACCGCCGATGGCTAACCAACCCCTCCATCAGTCGCAACAACCCCTTCCCACTCCTCAATCAGTGGCACCGGTGCTACAAACGCGACCTCCGATTCAGCAGCACCTACACCATCAGCCGCTGCCAGCGCAGAAACCCGGAGCACCTCCTCCTCAGCCACCCTTTCAAAGCCCACTTCCAGTACAACCCGCACGACTCGCATCGGAACCAATGGGTTCGCAACCGGCGAACCACTACAACAGTTACGGCCAAAACCAAGCCATACCTCCGCCACATATGAACTCCTATTCAAACGCCGGACATACAGTTCCTTCAGCGCATAGACTCAACGATGCGGTGACCGCTCAGCCCACGTATAACGGCGTCAGTTATAGTCAGCCGCCAAACATAGACCCCTTGACTAATAAGATGGGGTCGATGTCTGTGAACCAGACATGGGGTCAGATGTGGAACCAGGAGAGCGTTAATCTGATGACAGAGAAAGACATTCGCACTAAAGCTGTGATGAGTGAACAGCAAAGAGCAGCCAATTCTCAAAACGACTTCGACTCCAACTGTCATAAGGAGATAATGCGCTCAACTCTGACCAAAGTTCCCGACTCGACGTCACTGTTGCAGAAGTCGCGCCTACCCTTCGGAATCCTTATCCATCCCTTCAAATCGGATGACGTGAGCACTGATCTCGTCATTTGAGTCTTGTTTCACATTAACATGTTTTGAATGCATTTGCAGGACATTCCCATCATTCAGGACAGCCCTATCGTCCGGTGCCGGTCGTGTCGAACATACATTAATCCTTACGTCCGTCTGTTAGATCAGCGCCGTTGGCAATGCAACCTTTGCCTTAGGATTAACGAGAGTATGTCTTATCGTGTAATTGTTTGAATGCAAAGTTTCTTATTTCAATGATCCGATTGTATAGTTCCGGAAGAATTTCTTTACGATTACAATACGAGACAAACGATTGACTGCACGTCTCGACCGGAACTAAATTATGGCTCAATTGAATACATAGCTAGCGTTGAATATATGGTACGCCCTCCACAACCGGCCGCCTATTTATTTGTGTTCGACTGTTCCCGACACGCGACTCAAGTCGGTTACATCCCATCCCTGGCCAGGGCGTTGACTCAGTGTTTGGAGCAAATCCCCGGCGACTCTCGAACTTTGATCGGTTTCATTGCTTTCGACTCAAGGCTTCATTTCTTCAATTTGGGAGATAAACAGCCGATCCATTTAGTAATGCCTGACATTCAAGGTATGCCTTTCTATTTAGAGCACCGGTTGTTAAGGCGATTGTCTAATCACTGGTTTCCATGTGTTTTCAGATGTATTTCTTCCGAATTACGAAAACATTTTAGTTAATCTTCAGTCAAAAAGAGCTCAAATCGAGGAGTTTTTAACCGAAATTTTGCCCACTTTTCCATTGGATAATCCCAATGATGTGGTCTATGACACGGGATCAGCATTGGGTGCAGCCTTAACAGTGGCCTATAAGGTGTTGTCATCCCTGGGCGGAAGAATCACTCTAATTCAGGCAACCCTTCCTAACATTGGAAACACGAGCGATGGATCCGTTCTGACCAATAGAGAGGATCCAAACAAACGAACCATAAATTCCAATAATTTGAATGCTTTGACACCACTCCTGAATCCGGGAACTGATTTCTACAAGAAGTTATCGTTAGAATGTTCCGAACACCAGATTGCAGTCGATTTGTTTGACTTGTCGTCGTCTTACTCTGATTTGGCGACTGTTGGATCGGTTTCTAAGTTCAGCGGCGGATCTATTCATTATTACGGCGGAAGTCCTCCCTCTTGTCTTTTGGCGCGATTTGAAGCCGATATGAGACACTATTTGCAGCGAAACATCGGCTTTGAAGCTGTGATGAGAATGCGCTGCACTCGAGGCCTGTCTATCCATACATTTCACGGAAACTTTTTTGTCCGGTAATTAACATAGACTTGATTTACTTCTTGATTTGTGTTAACAAATGGATTGTCGTTTAGTTCAACCGACTTGTTAGCGCTTCCCAACGTAAACCCCGACTCAGGCTATGGAATGCAGATCAGTATCGACGAAGACCTCAAAGACTACACTAATGTCTGCTTTCAAGCGGCCATCCTTTACACGTCAGCCAATGGCGAGCGACGTATTCGAGTGCATACTCTATCTCTTCCAGTGGTGACCACAATAGGGGATGTGATTCATTCGGCAGATCAGGAGGCGATCATCTGTCTCCTCTCGAAGATGGCTGTCGACCGAAGTCTTACTTCTTCGATGTCTGACGCGAGAGAAGCACTAATCAATGCAGTGGTCGATATCCTCAACACTTACCGAGCAATCAATACCAGCGCAGGCGGTGGTGCACTCGTTATGTCTTCAGCCACTCGACTAATGCCTCTCTATGTCTTAGCCCTTATAAAACACGTGAGAATTATTGAATTATTTACTAAATTAGCAGTTATTTAATGTTTTGCTTACTTTATATTAAAGACTGCATTTAGAGTCGGAATTTCAACAAAAATCGATGAAAGAGTGTTCGCAATGGAACGGATCAAAAGCCTTCCTCTCAAGCAGTTAATGACATATATTTATCCCAATCTCTACGCCATTCACAACAGCTTTTCCAATGAGAATGAGAGGCCGACTCCCGTTCAGCTCTCGTTCGCCAACATTGAGCGCAACGGAGTCTATCTGTTGGACACTTACGACAATCTGTTTGTCTATATTTGCAAATCAGTTCACCCGCAGTGGTTGGCAGAAGTGTTTAATGTGACCCAATGGGCACTCATACCCGATGACGGAGAGGCCACTCCCACTAATCAGATGCCAAATAGTCCGCAATTACGACAACAGACACCAGAACCGGAAGAGCGAGAGATCATACGATTACCGCAATTGGAAAACATGACATCAAAAAGAATCCACTCTTTTATTAATAGTCTTATCAAAGAGCGACCATTTCAGCCAAACTTTCATATACTAAGGTATGCCTGCGATCTGTAAATTGTCATCAAATGAATACTAATTGATTGAATTGTCGCAGAGAGGACAGTCGACTGCGATACGCGTTTCTGCAGTACATGTACGACGACAGGAATGAGTCGGCGTTCAGTTACTACGAGTTTTTACAACACCTTCAGCAACAGATTAAGAATTAGTGTTAAAAAGACTTTTTAAATATATAAATATATATTGGTTTCGATTTATTTTCAATCAATTTATTGTTTAAATACTGGAATTTTTTAGGGAATTAATAATATTTAAATTTTGTGATAAGTTTTACTACAAAAAGCAAACATTAAATCTGTCGATACAGCGATTGTGTCGTGTATTATATGTTATAATTAAGACATTAAATAATGATTTGATATATGAATACAAAACTCGTGTTTAAATGTAAAGCAAATTGAAAAAATATTTCCTATACTCCGAGCCATCGGTTGGTAAATGACTTCAAGAAATCAAGTATTGTTGTCATGAGATGTGTTAGGATGGGGTCGTGCCATGCGTTTAACGACCCCTTCTGGTGATCATAGCGCGGGCCCGACCGCGACCTCTCGCCACTAATGGATCAATGGATCAATCAATGAATACAATGGCGTATCAAATGGTGAGACAATGGATACAAACCCTGAGCCCGAAGTATAGCTGATTTGCCGCGACCGGCCTGTTGTTGACCCCCTTTAACGCCCACCTTCTTAAACATGGGGGCGTTCTTGAGCATATCGGGGAGTATAAGGAACCGTATTTTGGATCCCCTGATGAAGACGTTCTCGAGTTGTGAGACGCGACCATCCCTTGTGGTGACCGTAATGCTCGCCATCTGACAGTTCATGTTGTCCTCGGCCTCCAACAGCTTACCCCGGTATACATCACCCGTGTTGGTCTCGCAGGTGATGATATGGCCCTCGGCCTCGTGCAGCACTTTAATGGGTATACCGATCGACATGATCTTCGTATTCTTCGGCGGTGTCTATGAAGCGATGGTTTGTATTCAAACGACAATAAAGCGTGAGTTTTGGCGATTAATACGACGGCCTGTAAGAGACATACACTGCAGTCAACGCATACTCAGACCTATGAGTGGCGTAAATGCCTTGTGTTTGGCAATACTCCCGATACTGACGACTGCAGTGAAGGCACTGTTGCCTCACTCACACACAAACTGTTTCTCGTTTACATTAAGTGTAAGTCTTACATATTTTGACCAAGGTGTTCAATAAGTGTTCAATAATTTGAGATACATACACTTTTAATTTAGTTTAATTTACCCGTAATAAACTCCTGGCCCTCCCGACCCCACCACTAATTTGTTACAAATTGTCTTTCGTTGTAGTAATGAATAAGTTTTCGTCAATATATGAAAAGTTTTTACTTTTTATATAACATTTAGAATTGAGAATAAACTAAAGGCTCAAAGAATTCACAGAATTCACAGAATTTAGTGTCGCTTTGGAAGCAAAGGAAACAATAAATGCTTTTGTTTTGTGACACGAATTCATGCTTTACTTCCTTTACTACTCGCCGTCTGTTGTGACTGTTGTGCGATCGCAGAGCCAGTCCGAGAAGATATCACTTTAGAGGTCGCCTTCGAAGGGGCGGCGGATGAGCCGGCGCTCGACGACCCGGCGCTCGAGTTGAGCGATGAGCCCGCGGCTGATGATCCCATCGCCGAAGAGCCCATTCCGCTGATCATAGACCCGCCCGCTGCTGACGAACCCGCGGTCGATGATCCCATTCCCGAGATGGTTGATCCGCCCACAGCTGATCCGGCGCCCGATATACTGGAGCCCACTTTGGAACCGCCAGCGCTCGAGCCCGCCTTAGAGCCCACTTTGGAGCCGGTGGTCGACACTCCCGACGGTTTGGCTAAAAACTTTGAGGCCATCTTCTCGTCTATTTTGGACGCGTTTTGACTCGCCTTCGACTGAATGGCCGAACCTGTCTGTGAGGGCCGGGGCTCCTGTCCTTCGGGAGGCGCTTCTTCTGGTGGTGGCTGTTCGCCTGTCTGTCCCTCTCCCTCCCCCTCTCCCTCACTCTTTTTGCCACAACAGCCGCCCATCTCTTCGATTGTCTTTCGTTTGATTTCTTATTCCTTTGATAACTCTTTTCAAGAAAATGACACCAAATCTAAGCCTTCCGTGGATTTCGAGATAATTTAAGACTTTATAACGAACTTCTGGTAATTCTGTTATTCAAATGTTTTTAAATCCTATTTTTGAGAACGAGATGTAAAGTAAAAGTTAGAAATTAATTTCAATTTATTGCAGAGCGAGACTTGCCGTCAAAAGTATGAATTATTTTTGAAGGAAATTTTGAATTGTTAGTGAATTTTGTGTCTGTAAATAAGTCTTAATTGAGAATAGGTTCTGGGTAATGTGCGATCTGCAATGGGAATAATTGCATCAGTATTTCCTACGTGTTGTCCCTGTCTGTCAAAGACATCAACAACAAGCAAACGTTCAAAAACTAGAAATAGAAATAAAAGTTCGCAGAAAAAGAGTGCAGTAATTGAGATGAATTGGGAGACAAATGTGAACTCTTATACCACTCCGAGTCAGATCCCCGACCAGGAACTCACCAAAGAGTATGTCATTCCAAGAGACTACCCATCGATTGATGAATGTATAGCCAAACAGGGCTATCAACTAGGGGATGTGATCGCTCCTAAAACCTCTGGATCTAAGACAGAAGTGATCAAATTGTATGGATTGGAGACCAAAGAGGTATTCGCCTGTAAAGTGATTCCACTGGAAAAGGATAGCGTCAATAGTTTCCCTGCTTTTAATAATTTAAAAAATGAAATTTTTGTCATGAGAAGGGTTCAGGAGTGTCCCAATATTATCCATATGTATCGACACTTTATTATAAAACAACACATCATTGAAAAGGATATGGAAAGCATAAGACTGATCGCTTATATAGTGATGGAATACGCGAGCGGAACGGTACTCCACAAAATGACTGTCTGTTACGAGTCCACTGGAAAGCCTAATATATTGAAAGCATTGTCGGAAAAGAAAGCAAAACAATATTTCAAAGACATGGCAAATGGGATTCATTACTTGCATTCAATAGGAATAACACATATGGATATAAAGTTAGGAAACATGTTAGTCGTGAACGAACACAATGAAGAAGTGGTCAAAGTTTGCGATTTCGGTGTAAGTCATGTGAGTCAGCCTTCCGATAAAGGACACAAAGGACAGGTCGTTAAATATAGGACAGCCATCGGAACCATTGATTACTTTTCACCGCAAATGTTGAAACTGATTATACGGGAGGAGTGGCACAAAGATGTGGGACGAGTCAAAGAATACGACAGTTTTAAGTCAGACGTGTGGGCTCTTGGAGTATGTCTTTGTGCCATGATTTGCGGTCATTTGCCCTTCAAATTGAAAGCCGATGACCAGAAACTATGTGAGAAAACATACGATAAAATGATTCGCAAACGTTATAAAAGACCACAAATGAAACGGCGGTGTTGTCTGCAATGTTTGTGTCACACAAATAACTCGTCAAATGATTGCTTGAATTTAATTGATAAACTTCTGGAACCAAACGCCGATCAAAGAATTACAATGAAATCAGTTATAAAACATCAATGGCTTAATTAGTGACAACATGAACTTAAAATAATTAAATTTTAATGTTAATAATATAATATTCTATACACAGGTACTCATACAGCCCTTTATTTTATGAATAAATTCATTATTCTTTCTTGATTTTATTTATAATAAATTATTTTGGATAATGTCATAAAAGTTGTTTTAATTTAGAGATTTTATTAAGTAGAATTACTATGTTTTTACTAGACATTTAAATGTGTAAGTGATTTTATTTTTATATATTTATATATTCATCAATGATTGCTTATTCTCCAAGTTTGAGCCTCAAACTGATTTATATTATAAATGATTAATTAAACATTTTAGTCTTATAAGATTTGTAGCTTTTAAGTTAGAAAAATATAATGAAGTGATTTATGAAGTAACACAAAGGCTTAATACTTGATGGAGGAGGGGATTTAGGATTCATAGAAAATATAGACTAATCGTTATACTGTTATACTTGTATAAGAATCTGATAGTTATTCTAAAGACTGGAAGACACTTCAGATGTCGTTCAGAGTGCCGTTCATTGAGTGATGTTTTCATAGAATTCTTGAGTCTTAGACTTAGATCTATATAATCGACAGAATAGAGAGAGGAATACAAAGTATGGCTTCAATTGATTGGCTCAATAATACGCCAAAAGTCAATAATTAAAAGAATTTGTCGTATAATTAACAGAATATTCATCATATTATATGAATCTATATTTGGAAAACTGAATGAATTATTGCTTGAAATGGAGCGATGAGTGGAATTGAGAGCAAATGACATAATTGTTGGCAGAAATGTCACGAATAATAGTGTATTGGATGTGATTTTTTGAGCAAAAACTTAGTTTTCTTCCATATATTTATCGATTATTTTTGTGCGTAAACTGAGAGCTCACACCAATATCATCGCAATTCAAATGTCAACAATATTTTTCTTATTAATTAGTACATGTTTTTAATAAATACAATGTTTATCGGGACCATAAAATGGTAAGCGATTGTCTCATATTAACTAATGTGTGTATTAATTGACGAAATGATACATAAAATGCAAATTTACTGTACAGTATAGTCGAGTCAGTGATGCTTTGGTTGCAATCAATTGGAAAATAGATTTTAATTATAAAGCCTTACAGAAAAGCTGAGCTCACAATACACTGAATATACTGTATAATTGTATTGCTATTGTGTTGGGTATAGGGTTTGCATTATTTGATTTCTATATTTATAGACATATATTTACAATTCCTGTAATAATCTCTAAAAAAGAGATACTTTTTACACAAACACCATTTTAATGTAACAATTGATTCATTGGTCTGAATAATGCATTAATTTTCTTAAGCAAATAAACACTTTTTCTTGATTTTATGCTAATTATATGCTTTTTCTAATGTGAATGCTTTAGTCTCGAAAAACCCTATTGTGAGCTATTGTTAGATATTCTTTATGTAAATTATCTTTAATATTGATTACAATATTCTGTACTCTATTTGTGCACAAAACAAGCGTTTTATTTGAGAATTCTTTGCACTGAAAACCCATCCAAAGCTATGAAACAAAACAAATGGTATTTTATTTTTCTATACGATATGAGAGAGACTCCGCTTTCAATGCATTTAATCTTTCGGAGAAAGAGATATAAAAACTATTTTTGTTTCTCCGTTTCAATCAATCATTTTCTCGCCTTTTCTTATTACAGCCAATATTTGAATGGTTTTCATGTTTTCTGTATATAATTTAATATCTCCCTATAGTTTGGTCTCATAATTGAATTTAAAGTTTTTAAATAAATCTCTAATTCGATGTTATGTTGTGTTAAATGCATGAAAATTTGTTAGAAAGTAATTCTTGAAATGTTGTTTGAATGCAATGTTATATTGATTTTCTGTATCAAACAAGTGATGTCTATTGAGGCGAACCTATGAATAGCATTTGCGCCGTCATGTCCTCGCATACAGATTCAACGCAAAGCAATATATATAATAATTCCCTATAAAAACAATTTTCTTATTTATCACATTAACCGATATTTTATGATTTAGTTTGCTTTTGCACTTATTTTTTGTTCAATTCTATACTTCGCATAAATATCGCAGAAAAAGTGTAACGAAAAACATGCTAATAATGTGACGCGAATCTGCATTTTCTGAATTCATTTTGTGGTCAATGGTATCCGTATTAAATGTCTGCTCCAAACTCTGTATTACTTTTAGATCAATAAATGTTGTGAAACACAATCCCATTCCTCCCTATTCTTGAGAGGAACTGACGAAAAAGAGTGAGCAAACCATAAGATAGTTATACTGTGTTTCGCTGTACAGTGTGTGCGAGCGAATAGACGATAGACGAGAGCACCAGTGGTTTTGAACGCATAGAATATTATAGAGAATATACAGAATCACAGAATCCGTCGACAGAAACAGAGCAACCGTTTTAAGCGGCAGTAAAGCTCTAGAATCCGAACCAATGGATCGATAAATTTAAGACCAAAATGATGATCATATAATTATAATTATGTATAATTCATAGTATTATATACAGTATCTGATGAATTGATTAGTATTTTGTGATATTTGGGTGAACCGCAGATCAATCGCTGGCTGTACGGCTTAAACGCTATTATATGAGATGGTCTCTTGTATTGGCGCCGACATTACTTCATCTAATAAATGGTAATGAAATTCTCGATAAACCCGTTCAACTCGTTTTGTTGTGATAAGTAACTCATATAAAGACAACTAATAATATTCATAATAAGAAGCTTGCAATCAAAAGTCACCAACATCATATTCGTGAATTTAATTACTACAATTAAAATTCATATATAAAACATGATCACCAGAATTGTGTTTAAGTAGCCACTCACTCGTATACCGACACAATGTTCTATACGGTGGGGGCGGCGGTGCCCTATAACGCGTATGGCGGTCATCAAACACCAATGCCACCCCCGGGCACCTATTCTCCCGAAGAATTGGAGTGTCTTAAAGACCGAAAGTGGTGGGCATTCCTATTGTCCAGTATATTTACATTACTCGCAGGTATTTATAGCATCAATATTTGCCAAGCTGTAGCAAAATATTTGCTAACATCGCTATATCCAAGCTAACGTTATGCGATATTAACGCTGAGTGTATTACTTGATATGATTTGTAGGAATTTTCATTGTATTGATTTACCGATTGATCGAATTCTTGTGTTCGGGCTCATCGGCTCATAACCAGCAATCAAATGCACCGAACAATAAGGCCAAACAACAAATGCCAAGCCTTCAGGTGAAAGACATCAAACCCAGTTTGCCAACAGAGCCCCTGCCCCTCACTAAGGACTTGGGATGGATGACAGAGGCTAAGGACTGGGCCGGAGAACTCATTTCCGGTCAATCGACTACTGGAAGGATTCTCGTAAGTAAACCATTACTTACACGTTCGCGTCCATTCAGACGCTATTTTCAGATAACAATAAATCATATTTCAATACAATTGAAGAAAGGTTTATCGATTGACATTATTTTCAACTTAAATCTCAATTTTTGTGACAACTTTTTAGGTGGTTCTTGTATTCCTCCTCTCCATCGCATCTCTAGTGATATATTTCATCGATGCCTCGAGGTTTGCCTCTAATTTATTCCCATTATATGATTGTTTGAGAAAATATATTTCAAAGAATATAATCATAATTAATTTGTTTGTATGCTACGAAATCACTTATGAATTAATCAAAACTAATTGTTTGTTTGCATTTAACATCACTAATCAGTATCGGACCCCCAACTCGCGGGTATGTAATCCATTCACTGTTTGCCTTAGACTTAGATTTATTAATTATGAAAGCATATAAGTATTATGCGATTAAGACTATAAGGCATTGTATCAACATTTGTGTTTGAATGGTAACAGTGATAGCGTAGAGAAGTGCCAGAAGTGGAACGACAACGCGACACAACAAGTAGATCTGGCCCTCAATATCTTTTTTATGGTCTATTTTTTTATCCGGGTAACATTTTTATCAACTATCTTTTCGCGGCTTTTCTCATAAGTTTATGTTTCGGTCATTGGTTTTCTCGCAGTTTATCGCCGCTTCCGATAAGCTATGGTTTATGTTAGAGTTGTATTCATTTGTCGATTACTTCACGATTCCTCCGTCTTTTGTGTCCATATATTTAGACAGAACTTGGATTGGTTTGTGTTTCAGACATACATTTGCCCTAAAAAATTATAACCAAACTTTTGTGTCTCCGCTAATAGGACTGCGATTTTTACGCGCACTACGACTCATGTCTTTTCCGGATATATTGCAGTATTTAAACGTTTTAAAGACTTCTTCGTCCATCCGTTTGGCCCAATTGGTCTCCATTGTAGTGTCCGTATGGTTGACCGCCGCCGGACTCATACATTTAGTATGTGTTTATCCTATTACTGTATATCATTATCGTATTGTATGCTAAATGTCAATTGAATTGGATTTAAAGCTTGAAAATTCTGGCGATCCATTGGATTTCTCAAACGGACACCCAATCACTTACTGGGAATGTGTTTACTTTCTTATAGTAACCATGTCTACTGTGAGTCCACATTATATTTTACTATTCAATCATTTTCTAATATATCACTAAAAAACAATTATTGATAATAATAGCCATTTATGTGCAACTAATGAGGTATCGAATAGAGTAAAGTGTGTATTATATACATGTTTAATGTTGCAATCGATATTAATAACTGAAATATACTCTTAATGTATAGTTAATAGTGAAGTGAGCACTGCTTTACTTTGATTATAATATTCTAAATGTATTTCTATTAATACTATTTTAACACAAGTAATGGTTGTGGTTTTGCTAAAATATACTATACACATTGCAGAATATTTTATACAATGTATCATAACTAGCACATACACGCGTATAGTAAACGCACTTCAATTTTCAATAGTTTTCCAATTTTTATATTATTTAATAATATTATATACAATATTATTATAATTCGTTTATTATTATTATTATTATACTAATTCTAAAAATGACATTATTCTGAATGCTATATAAAAAATTCTATTAATACAAAATAGTAATGCAATAATAAGTAAGAATTAATAAATTATTGTCACATATTAATAGAGAATATTAGGGAATATTAGGGAATATTATTTTAAAAATATCGATCGATCGACGAGAATATAATTTCCATATAAATTACATTCAATGCATTGACGCTTCAAACGCTATTTTTCTAAAATTAACGCTAAAAATGGAAATTTGTTTGTAATTAAAATATTCGTGAATACCATGTATATTATATTAATAGAGTTTATATATGACTATATCTATCGATAGGTTGGTTACGGCGACATACACTGTACGACAACCCTCGGCCGTACATTTATAGTACTTTTTATTTTAGTGGGTTTGGTAAGTAGCGCTACCATTCAGTTGCCAATCCTTGCCATTCATTCTCTACTAGGAGGCCCCCAGCGACCCCTCTACGGCTTATTTATGATTGATATTCAGTTTAAATTAGATTCATATCATTCATTACTCCGTTCCCAATCATCACAATCTGTGAACCATTTGAGTCTCTCTACTCTACTCTTAACTCTAATCAGTGCAGCTCTTTCTCTGTCACGTGCTTTGTCTCTCTCTCTATCTCTTATCATATACTCTGTGGTCAATGTATGTGTCTCTCAAATGTCCAAATGTCCCAACAGTTCACATCAACTTTCCGATCGCTGCGAACATATAATACAAACTATACGTAACTGTACTAATAGTACGAACAGTAGCTGTACGCGTACAATTCATTCAACACACGATATATCAATTACTGTATACTACTCTTTCCAACTTTCCCTATTTTTCCCCTATCTTTCCCGTATCTCCCTTTCCCAACTTTCACCGCAATCATAATCAGTGCCATTCTTATCAATTATATTCCCTTCCCTTATGTTTGAAATGAAATCTAAATAACAATTTTATGATGAGTTTACTTGTAATGCGATTACAAACAACTCATATATGTAAATAATGATTGTAATTATGCTGTAAATTGAATTGAATGTCATTTTGTCGACCAGAATGTGAGCTTCGTATGATTGCTTAACTATTAACTACTATTAACACTGAAAGCTCATACCCTTCTCATTCATCTACAGGTGATATTTGCCTCTTGTATTCCTGAGATTTTAGAGATAGTCGGACGAACTCGTCCTAAATATTTTGGTCAATTAAAGCGCTTTCCAGAAAAGAGGTGATCATCGGATCATTCATTAAATGTCTGTCCGTTTACACTCTAAGAGTTTTCATACATTTGTCTCAACCAAATGGTTGAGTTCTTGATTTCATATAGACTATACAATAATTATATGATATAAATATATATAAATATAACTTACATAATAATTATTACTATGATATATATGTTGAATGTATGAAAATGTGAGACCGAAGTGCAATAGCAGTGCAAAAGCTGCACCTGATTTGAAGTATACTATGATCTCTATCTATACTTTTAGTGTCCTTTAGTTTATGCTTTATTTTCTGTCCATTTGTCTTAAATTGTTTTTATTTTGAATGCAAATTATCGATCAGTTATGTTCACCAGTCATCCAAACCTAAAGCCTTTCTCTATTTCCTCCCAAATTGAGCCAAAGTCTAAGTCCAGCCCTTAAGCCCCGACACACTATGTAATTGCCAGTTATGGGGGTCTAGTTCTATACTAATTGTGTATTTCTTTCTCTTTTCTCTCTATTTATTGCAATATTTCTAATTTGATGCTTAAATTGTCGTGAATTTGGTAATTCGTGTCGCGCTTTCATATCGTCGATGCAATACTCCTCCGCCATCCCATTGTCTCTATTGTCCTTCACGTCCATCACTATCTCCCATCTCTATCTCCATCTCTATCTCCATCTATCTGTCCATCTCCTATCATCATTCCCATCAACTCCTACTCCACTCCACTCCAACTCCGTGTCCGCTCCAACTCCATGTCCACTCCAACTCCGTGTCCGCTCCAACTCCATGTCCACTCCAACTCCGTGTCCGCTCTCCCCTCGCAGGCTGTGTTTGCCTCATTGGTGCCCGAAATAACAGAACTGGTGGGACATCCCTCTAAATATGCTGGCAATTACCAGAAAAATCCCGCTAAAAAGTATGTCTCGATTCTATTGTCTCGTTCATTGCGACCGACAATAATGGTTGTATTGATCTCTTAATTTGATTTTGAGTGACAATTATTGTCGAGTTTTTGCTATACTTTTTTTCCTTTTATTTTAACTTTCGCATTTATTCGTGTGACTGTTCTTCGCTGTTCACTAATGAAGTCATAGTCAGACATGACATCGAATTTGCAATTATTTAGTCATTTGCTGAAGACATGTCTTTTATCTTAACATGAAATTCTTAGCTCTTATTAATAGTCTTGTCTTTTGCCAATTGCTTTGTTATGTTCTGTTAGTTAACTCACTTATAGTATACTAACATTCAATCAAGCATTTTATCATTAGATTTCATTTATTAGTGAAATATTTTCACATTTCATTTGCTTTAACTGTATTAACGATTAAATAATAGTACATTTGATTGCATTCCTATGGCTATGTCTTCATTAATATAATGGTAAGAGAGACTCAAAATAACCGATAAGTACTGTAGCGTACGATATATGCCATACAAATACTGTACAAATGGTTTGACATGATATTAATAATTTCATGAATCCTTGCAAATATTAGATATTCTTGATATTCTGATATTCTTGATGCAATCTATTAACTAATGGGAATCAGTGTTATATAAGAGTTGCATCTCAGGAACGGTGTAAACGACAATTGATTTGTGGTAATCATAACCATAAAGGGCTCCTATTGTGTTCACTGTAGACAACCCGTCCATCCCTTCTCAAACTCTGTTAACTCTATATTTAACCATATGTTGGCCTTTGACCTTAGGCTGTATTTGCCTCATGTATACCAGAAATAATTGACTTAATTGGTTCACGACCTAAATATGGAGGAACATTCAAATCCGAGCGCCGGAGGTTTGCATTATATTTCTTAATGTTTGAAACGCCCGATAAGTTTTTGCGGTTTAACGCAATGAATGAATGAAAACTTTATCATTTCTTGTGTGTCTTTTTTGTTTCACAATTATTTGGATTGTGTTTAAGACTCCTCTCAATATTATCTTATAATGAAAGCAAACCCTCGTCCGTACCATCAAATCAAACAGTGTTTTGTGTGTCTCATGTCTTGTCTCAACCACAAAACCCCGCTATCGATCAATTGGAGGCCTTATATATGCACTCATGAAGTAGTTTTTGACGATTCGTTTTTCAATTTGATCCAGTTCAATTTGAGTCCATTTCGAGTCCATTTTGAGTCTCTCATTCCCATTCTGTTCACTCCATGCGAACAGTTACTCAATCCATATATTTGTCTGACAACGCAATTCTGGTCTCTTTTAAAACAATTGTTTCATTTGTGACAAAACACAGGCATATAGTAGTCTGTGGACACATCACTTACGAGAGTGTCAGTCACTTTCTTAAGGACTTCCTCCACGAGGACAGAGAGGATGTGGACGTAGAGGTTGTGTTCCTCCATAGAAAGCCCCCCGATCTCGAACTCGAAGGTATTTCTCATTACTTATAACATTAATTCATCCATGTCCTAATCCTGTCAATCACACTCAGGTCTGATTAAGCGTCACTTCACAACTGTTGAGTTCTTTCAGGGATCAGTCATGAATCCAATTGATTTGAATCGCGTTAAGGTATGTTTCACTTATATATATACAACACTTTCGCTGTAATTCTGTGTTTCCTTTCCACGAATTGTAAGACTCATGCAATTCATCGATCGATTCTTTCACCCGTTGTTTGCCTTAAACTATAGATATGTTTGGTTTAAACCAATATTTGCTTTGATATATAGGTTCACGACGCGGACGCCTGTCTAGTGTTGGCCAATAAGTACTGTCAGGATCCCGACGCCGAGGACGCGGCCAACATTATGCGAGTCATATCTATCAAGAATTATAGCGACGATATCCGAGTAAATTCTGTTTGCTTTTAAGAGTTTCATTAAGACTTATGTGTGAATACATATTGACTTATGTTCATTGCATTGCTTTCATCTAGGTTATAATCCAATTAATGCAATACCACAATAAGGCATATCTACTGAACATTCCCTCTTGGAATTGGAAAAGAGGTATTCCTATGCCATAAGTGTCTCTTCACTGGTACTCATGTCCGACATTTTGATTATTCTGTTCCCAAAAGGCGATGATGTCATATGTGTTAGTGAATTGAAGTTAGGTTTCATTGCACAGTCCTGTTTGGCCCCGGGTTTCAGTACAATGATGGCCAACCTCTTTGCCATGAGATCATTCAAAACAGTAATTAATTACTATTAGCTGCGAAAATGAACTTTGTGACTTTTGTTTCTGTATGTAATTAGTCTCCAGACATGCCTTCGTGGCAGAACGACTACCTGTGCGGCACAGGGATGGAGATGTACACCGAGAACCTGAGTCCGGCGTTTGCGAACATGACGTTCGCTCAGGCGTCTGAACTATGTTTCGTGAAACTCAAGCTCCTCTTACTGGCCATTGAGGTGACCAACGAGACGGGCGATGGGAGCGCCAACATTGTCATCAACCCTAAGGGCAATCATCGCATTCAAAACACAACGCAGGGATTCTTCATCGCACAAAGTGCTGATGAAGTCAAACGGTAAGTCACACACAGCCCTCCCCTTCCCGTACATACACTATATCTATGTTTGTTTAATCAAATTCTGTGCCAAACACTCAATTCGTGAGATTAAACTGTTTTCATAATAAATATTTTTTTACAAAGAAATATATATTCAATCGATTTGTGAAAAAAACTCTTTTCTGTTTTATTGAATTTTATTCAAAAATGTTTATTTGCTTTTCACGAATCATAAAATGTTTTTGACTTTTTATATGAAAACATTTATTCAACATCAGAGCAAACATTACTCCACATATTTCTCTGATTTATAAAAGAATTTTTTAATTTGTTGTTTGAGTTTTTATTTTTCTATTAATACAACAAATTAAATTTGTGTTTAAATTCAAACAAAATTTGTGTAGGGTATTATATTAAGAGCAAACATTTATGGTATGAGCTATGGTAGGATGTTATTGATAGCAAATATTAAACATTAAGACTATTATTTTATGTTAAAATATAAAACTTGATACAATAAATGGTATAATAAATATAATTTTCAAACTCATACCTCTTAAGCGCCCTTTGGTTTTGCAAGAGTTGTCACGAAGATGTGAAGGACGAGAAGTTGATCCGCAAGTGCAAGTGCAAGAATCGTTAGTATCCAGCACACTTTTATATCAATTATTTATATATTTGTAGAGTTAGCAAATTTATTCGAGAATAAGTTTTTCTAAACCTAAACCTAATTGAAATTCTTAGACATAGAATTGATTTACAGAATATATTTTTTAGTTGATCTAAACTTACGATATTAAAACCATTAATACAACTAACATTGATCATTTAACTGGGATTACTAATGCACAGCACTTTTTTCATTTTCTTATATTCTGCACCCATTTCTGCACCGATAATACAAAACCGCATATTATTTCGAAACGTTTTCAAAAAACTAATTCATTTAATAACTGATTGAATCAAACCGTGAATTGCCGTCAAATATTGTACTAAAACACTGAACTGTGTCTCTGAACTGATTCTGTCATTTGACTGATAACTGAATGACAATTAATGACAATATAGTTGGAGCTATATTTAAGAAGGGAGTGAGAGTTGTTCAGGCAGTTCATAACAATACAGCCACAAGACAATCAAGTATGACATCACTTATGACTTTTCTTAATGATAGTTGTTGTCGTAGTAGAGCATGCATTCAGTCTATAGTTATTGTCGTGACTAATATCCAATGTCTTACCGCATGTCTTAGAGCCCATTATAATCATTACAACTGTTCTGTACGTATATATACTGTACTGTATATATCGTTAAGTCTTAGTGAATGCTTTGTGTCATCTCCTAATCCACTGTTTGTTGGATTTGACGAAAGTATTAGTATTTAATGTTTGTTTGAATTTCACGGATATTTGTTGCCATCGCTTCTGTCCTCAACACTAATCCTCTCTAATATACTAATTAATAGCTGACAGCGGCTATGGACTCAATCAGACCTTAGGAATGGCTGATGGAAACATGTCTACTCTATCGCTGCATCCGACTAACACACCCCCAGAAATACCCAAAATTTCCAGAAAGCTTAGAGGTATTCAGAATTTTATGCATATTCTCAGAGAGTGTAGGAATTGTTACATAATTGGTGTGAAAATTGTTATTCTTGTCTCTAATAATAATTATATCAGATTTCGTTCCAATTCTTGACTTTTTAGGCGACAATTCTGGAGATCCGAGTGAAAGCAGTAAGTCTTACTGAAACTCTTTGCCCCATATATGCGCTCATATGGCTTCTTGTATCCTCTCAAGTCCATCTGATCCCTCCAACGTCCACCACATCTGCTGGTGGCAGGAGAGCGGCTCGCAATGGCAAACACGTGACCACTCCTCCACAGAACAGTCAAGTCCCTCATCAACGGAACAAACAGATGATATCACAACATATACCACATTCACAGCACTCACAGCCACAACCAACGCAACCTTCACTCCCATCACAACAGTCTGTGCTCTATAATCAGGTCCACTTAGCCTATGAGGTCAAGAAACTCATGTAAGACTCGCTGGCATTCATTCATTGAATCCAACATTGAATCCAACATTGAATCCAACATTGAATCCAACATTGAATTAATAATATTTGTTTGTTTTATGGAAAGGCCGGCCGCCCAGCGAATCGCCGATATCGCGGCCACTGGCGGGACGAACACCAACACCAGCGCCGGCTTTATTGACTCCAAAGACTTTGATTTTGAGAAGACAGAGATGAAGTACGACTCGACCGGAATGTTTCACTGGTGTCCCGCCCGACCCATCGAGGAATGCATACATTTGCCCCATATATGCGCTCATATGGCTTCTTGTATCCTCTCAAGTCCATCTGATCCCTCCAACGTCCACCACATCTGCTGGTGGCAGGAGAGCGGCTCGCAATGGCAAACACGTGACCACTCCTCCGCAGAACAGTCAAGTCCCTCATCAACGGAACAAACAGATGATATCACAACATATACCACATTCACAGCACTCACAGCCACAACCAACACAACCTTCACTCCCATCACAACAGTCTGTGCTCTATAATCAGGTCCACTTAGCCTATGAGGTCAAGAAACTCATGTAAGACTCGCTGGCATTCATTCATTGAATTCAACATTGAATTAACAATATTTGTTTGATTTGTTTGATGGAAAGGCCGGCCGCCCAGCGAATCGCCGATATCGCGGCCACTGGCGGCACGAACACCAACACCAGCGCCGGCTTTATTGACTCCAAAGACTTTGATTTTGAGAAGACAGAGATGAAGTACGACTCGACCGGAATGTTTCACTGGTGTCCCGCCCGACCCATCGAGGAATGCATACAACGAACACCAACACCAGCGCCGGCTTTATTGACTCCAAAGACTTTGATTTTGAGAAGACAGAGATGAAGTACGACTCGACCGGAATGTTTCACTGGTGTCCCGCCCGACCCATCGAGGAATGCATACTCGACAGGAATCAGGCGGCGATGACTGTCCTCAACGGTCACGTTGTCGTCTGTTTGTTCGCAGATCCAGATTCACCGCTCATTGGCCTAAGAAATCTTGTGATGCCATTAAGGTTTGTATTGCAATCGATGCAATAAACAATGATAATCTGAACCCAAATATTGGTTTCATTCAGAGCTTCAAATTTTCATTACCACGAACTCAAACATGTGGTGATCGTTGGAAATGTCGAATATCTGCGGCGAGAGTGGAAAATGCTGCAGAACTTGCCTAAGATTAGTGTATTGAACGGCTCTCCCCTATCGCGCGCGGACTTGAGAGCCGTTAATATAAACTTATGTGATATGTGTGTCATATTGTCGGCAAAGATTCCCTCATCAGATGATCCCACGTTAGCTGATAAGGAGGCCATTTTGGCGAGTCTTAACATCAAAGCCATGACATTTGATGACACTATTGGCGTCATTACTAATAATGCAACCAATGGTACAGCCATTGGAAACACTATTCCGGGGACTTCTCCCCCACCTCTGGTTGTGCAACGAAGAGGGTATGGCTTTCCATTTGAAACGAATCACGTGATTCTTGACTAACACTTCCACATGTCTTAACCTCCAGTTCCGTTTACGGCGCAAACGTACCTCTGATAACAGAACTGGTAAACGACACAAACGTCCAGTTCTTAGATCAAGACGATGACGACGACCCGGACACTGAGCTATACCTGACTCAGCCGTTCGCGTGCGGCACCGCTTTCGCCGTCTCTGTCCTCGACTCCCTTATGTCCACCACTTATTTCAATGCAAATGCGTTGACTTTGATCCGGTCTCTCATCACTGGTGGCGCCACTCCTGAACTAGAGCTCATCTTAGCGGAGGGCGCGGGTCTTAGAGGCGGGTATTCAACGCCCGAAACCTTAAAAAATCGCGACCGCTGTCGAGTCGGCCAAATCAGTCTATACGACGGCCCTCTCGCCCAATACGGAGAGAGCGGCAAATATGGCGATCTCTTTCTGGCGGCCCTTCGCTCTTATGGTATGCTATGTATCGGTATTTACCGGTTCCGGGACACCACGGGAACGGCTGAGGCCTCATCCAAACGATATGTCATCACAAACCCTCCCAACGAATTGATCCTAATTCCCAGTGATATGGTATGCATACAGACATTGTCTAATAATCTACTGAATAACTTTGTACTCAATGAATATCTCATTTGTTTGACAGATCTTTGTGTTACTGCAATTTGATCCAGGTCTGGAGTACTACAAGGCTGAGAGGGGGCACAATCCGGGGGCCCAGAGAGCCCATTTGAATGAGCAATTAATAGGCAATAATTCGGTGACAACTGTGCCGCAGACACAGGCGGGTCAGCCTCCCTCTTGACAGATACTTTGTAGCGCTCTCACGGACGGGCCATACTCATTCATTTAAATGACCAAGTTTAAATGAAAGGGTAGAGTCTGTACCGTCTGAGTGCTACTCTCATAAGAACTTACAACGAATCTGTTATAAGTTTCATATAATAACGAATATTTTCAACTATAAACTCCTCATATATTTCAGTCTCACATATAATGTATATTTGGATTGAATGTTGAGAATTATTTTGATAATTAAAAACCAAAAGTATAGCTAATGTTGTCATTCGTTGACTGACTCTGAGTTAAAACTAAAGAATTATCGATAAAATTGTTGTAAATGTTGTTAAAATTAATCGTTGAGAGCCACTGATAAGTAGGATGTCATCCAATGGGTCACACAGTCATCCCTGTCATTGACTTCTAGGCGCAGCTATTTTTACATACAATACATATATTTATTGCTCATTAGATCTCATTATTAGCTCATTTAGAGATTAAATCTATATTTCAAACGAAATAATTGTTGAAATAAAAGTTAATAACAAGTTATCGTCTAATCAATCGACTAATCGATAAACACATCTCTCAAGTGTTGTCCTTTTGCTACGAATTTGTTTAAATGATATGTTTTTGTGCTCTTTATTAATATCTATTAATATTAATAACGATTATATTATTTTTCATAATTCAATACGAAATACAACCAGTTATTAAACACTCTATTGGTTATCATTTTCTGATTATATACCGGTTATACTATTTCTATGAATTTCTATTGTATTAAATTATATGAAAATATATTATATTTAAATCGTTTATGAAAACCTGATTTCCCTTTCGATAACTTAAGTGTTGATATTTAACAAATAATTTATAAAAAACAATTGATAATTATTTTGTTGCTTAAGACTTGTTATTAGGTTTGAAATAAGTTTGGATAGTTTTCGGTAGTATTTACCAAACCATACATACCGTGGCCCTCTATGGCACCGGGAGGTCATATGAAATTATTAATACTTTTCAATAAACTGTAAGTTTGTGTCAAAGTTTTGTCGCATTTATTGTAACACTATTTGTGAGTAATTTGTGTGAATTGAACGCAAACTGTGAGACAATTTGTGACCACATTTGCAGCACTCGATGGACACCAATTTGGTCACCGATTGTATGGACAACTCAGAGGAATATTACCACCGATTGGAACAGATTCTCGTACAGAACCAGAGTCTCAGAAAGCAAAAGCAAACGAGTGGTAAAGTAACAGATAATGGGAATAACATTCCTCTGGATCCTTGCCATGTGTGGGAACTCGAGAGGATTGAGAGTTTGGTCGCCAACTCGGCCACCGATTGTCAGCAACTGATCCACACTAACACCATAGGTATTGACTAGGTGTGATTGTGGTATCCATAACTGAACATAAACTAGGGGTTAACTAGAATTCTAACAATAAAACTGGTGTCTAAATTCGTTTTCACTATTTTGTGACGTTCTCTACTGTGTAATAAATGTTTGATTTAATGCAATTGAAGTCAAAGACATTGATTTAGTGGATGAGATGAGTGGCGATAGCGGCGAACGTGAAGACAATTCGGACGCAAAAGAGATCAAAGAATTGAAGGAAGAGATCAATGAATTGGAGAAACACTTGGCGTTCATTGAAGTGTCGATTCTTGAGAACCAGTCGATGGAAGCGTTGCTTTCGACGGAAAAACAGATGAAAACTCAGATCCAATGCTTGGAGAAGGAAATCAGTGATTTGAGTGAACAGATCAGTGGACAACAGTTCACTGCAATGGCCATCGAGGCAGACATTCGCCGATATCAGTGGCAATAAATGGTGTCAAACAATAGCTGATCCAATGTCTCAATGATATTCCTCTTAATATATAAATTATAATGAATTCATGTTTTGTTTGTTTTAGTGTTGTGTGAGAATAGCCTGAAGTCATAAAATAGCAATAAATGGTGTCAAACAATAGCTGATCCAATGTCTCAATGATATTCCTCTTAATATATAAATTATAATGAATTCATGTTTTGTTTGTTTTAGTGTTGTGTGAGAATAGCCTGAAGTCATAAAATGACACAAATTGTTACCATTTGATTGATTTCGGTTTCCACACCAGACATCCAGTTCTTGGGTTTCCATTCATTCATTTGATACCAGAAATAATGGCGATTAACACCACTTTTGATCTTTTTATGAAAACCTTTTTATTGATTATAAAATACCACTTTTTGAGTCAAACATATACCAAAAGTTGTTTTTAAGGATAAAATTCATATACCATTTGATTAGATTACCTGTAATAACATTGAATGCATGAAAGTTTTAATAGTTTTCATTTTACAAAATATTTATATATCGGTTTGGATTTATAATCAAATCATTGACAATACGAATGAAGATTACAAATGAAAATATTTTTTCATTTTTATACAGTATAACAGTCAAACTAGCAATGAATTAAATATACATAATCAATGGTTAAGTGATTGTGACGTCAATTAAGATTAGCAATAAATGGTGTCAAACAATAGCTGATCCAATGTCTCAATGATATTCCTCTTAATATATAAATTATAATGAATTCATGTTTTGTTTGTTTTAGTGTTGTGTGAGAATAGCCTGAAGTCATAAAATATATGATTGCAAAAAATGACACAAATTGTTACCATTTGATTGATTTCGGTTTCCACACCAGACATCCAGTTCTTGGGTTTCCATTCATTCATTTGATACCAGAAATAATGGCGATTAACACCACTTCTGATCTTTTTATGAAAACCTTTTTATTGATTATAAAATATCACTTTTTGAGTCAAACATATACCAAAAGTTGTTTTTAAGGATAAAATTGATATACCATTTGATTAGATTACCTGTAATAACATTGAATGCATGAAAGTTTGAATAGTTTTCATTTTACAAAATATTTATATATCGGTTTGGATTTATAATCAAATGTAACTGTTATGCTTACTTCTAATGTTTACTTTTATAAAAAAGTAAAAATATGTCATATTGTCAGTTTGATCGTTACTTAATTTATATGTATTAGTTACCAATTCACTAACACTGCAGTTAATTCTAATTGTGAAATGAATAGTGATTTCCAATGCTATCAAGTCTTTGAACGTAAGAGGAAAGTAAGTAAGCTTTTCATCTCCGGTCCCCAACAGTCCCCTTACCTGTAGGTCGTGTTTAGAAGCAAAATATTTAGCTTTTTCTACAATTTTGCGGAGTCTTTACAAATGAGGCCAAAACACTGCTCTTATTTATTACTGATTTAATTGAGTTTCAAGTCTTTTATATCAATATTTTGTGTCAATTATACTTAATAATATTAATACACTTAATGCGATTCAATGCAAACTTATATTTTTAAATATGTGTAAAGTTTTGGTACTTTTATCAAGTGAAAACTTTTTTAAACAGTTCTTGAATTTGGTTTATGCAAACAATTCATAATTGTCTTTGTTTGAATCATAAGTTTTCATAATTGGCTTTAAGTCTATTTATATTTCTTATTAAGTTTTTAAGCAAATAAAAATTATACATCTTATGTATCGTTGAAAATGATTTATTAATGCCCTAACAGTTGGAATTATAATACCTATACTAATAATAATGTATATACTGTAATAATATGGACTCATTTTGTGCAACTTTCACTTGAAGTAGAAATTGAAAGGCAATCAAAATCATAATATTTAGTTACGAAACTCAATAACATTCTTAATATTACATGAGTTTACTGTAGTTTAGTATTAAGTGAGCCCATGACCGACATTACATGTAAACTGGAGTTTTAAATTCATCCCAACTGTACGTATCATTTAATGAAAGCCTTGACTCAAAGTCAATCTTTGCCTAAAGTCATCTCTCTCTCTCTCTCTCTCTCTCTCTCTCTCTCATGTGATGTGATGTTTTGTTGGGAGCTATTAGGGCACTGTTATGTCAAAGGAAACTTTGGATCACTTATGAATCAGTTGTGTGGACAACATCTACAGAATATGTGACAAAATATGAGCAATTCTTGTGAAAACATATCGCATAACAAGCGGACGACTGCTTTTCATCTCTATTATAACTTTTGCAAACTTTTTGGTAAAAAGTGTCAAAAGTTTCATAATGGAAGTGATGCCATGGATTGTGTTATTTATTTTAAGCCACAATTACTTCACAAAATGTCTTCAATTAGACACGAGTGGAGAGGTTCCGGCGGCCAGACCTCCCAACTACTCCAACTCGGACTCATGGACTTCAGAGGACTTATTACCGAAAGATAAGTCCATAATTCATGTGAAACTAGTGCGTCCATCACCTAAAAAGCTGCCGGAATGGGAGGCCAGGCATAAAGACAGTTATCTGTTGGATATGAGTTTAGACTTCGATTCGCCACTTATTAGCAAAACATTGAATAACTGTCTGATTGAGTACAAGGATGTGTTCAGTGATATTGAGAGTGAGAGTGTGTGGAGAGTGCAGATCAGTGGACCTCAATGTGTAGCCCTTCCGCTCAATTCACTGGCTTTCGTCAATAGCTTAACGCATCTAATCATTAAAAACACGGCACTCATAGGTCTAACGAAATTTATTTTCGGCGCTTCAAAGTTGGATAAACTCAAGAGAATTGACATCATCGACAACAAGCTGTTGATGGACATCAATGACCGCACGTTTGACGGCCTCTCGAGACTTAATTATCTTAGTTTCATAAATAATAAACAACTCAATGTTATCAGTAATGAGGCATTTGTTGGTCTCAAAAGTCTGGAAGAATTGGTTTGGATTTCCAACGGAGAGGTGACTCAACAGATTTTCTCGACACTGACCAGAGCCTCATCGGCCCGGATATTGCCATCTCTGATGCATTTGCATATATCCGGACCTTTCAGTGATTATAATTTAAACCAACAATCAATTGATGTGGAAAGCAATCAAAGCATTTCCAATGCATTTAAGATCAATAAAGACGATCTGATATTCTTAACACAAGTAAAATATCTTCAATTAACTGATTGTGATATTGAATCCATACATACATTAGCATTCATACCATTGAGGAATAATCTGATTGGACTTAATCTAAGTGGCAATAAAAGACTTGAAATGTCAAACTTGAAACAAGTGCTCATAAATGCCTTTCAAAGCAATTCCAGTGAAAGTTCTATTGAAAAGCTCGACATTTCCAACATCTTTGACATGCGAACTGTTCCCAAAGTGATGTTAAGTGTGATCAGTAAGACTTCAATAAGTGCCCTGTATTTGAGACAATTGAAAATCAATGAAATAGTTTCGGGTGACATCCCTCCCATGCCTTATCTCAAGGAATTATACCTTGAATTCAGTGAATTAGAGTATATCGAAGAGAATTCTTTCCAGACATTAGAAGGTTTGGAAAGACTGAGCCTAAGAGGCAATTACTTGAGGACTATTCCAAACAATTTCATATATAATCTTCAAAAACTCAAATACTTAGACTTATCAGGGTACAAAGATAATCGAAATCGTTTGGAAATACCGCACAAGACATTTGTGGGCACGAGTCTCAAAGAAGTGAACTTATCGTATAAAATATTAGACCCCTTACCACGGAATGCTTTCTTAGGACTATTCAAAATGCAAAAGTTTCACATAAGAGGATGTGGTCTCAAGTTTGTCGAATATCTCACGTTCTTTCCGCTCAAGTCTATCGTTTACATCGATTTGAGCGAAAATGAAGAGCTTATATCCACTCTCAGGG